CACACGCACACACACACACACACACACATACACACACACACGCGCGTACAGGTGTGGAAAGAGGCCCCCGGCCGGAGGGAGGACAATGCTGGGAAATGAGAATCGCTGATCTCCACGAACAATCCTGATCCCGAGCGCCCCCCCCCCCCGCAGGACAGATCTCACCTCGAGCGGAAGTACATCCACCGCGGGCAGTCCGGCTGGCGGCCGTGTTACCATCGTACATGCGCGCACGCGCGGCCGGGCAACGGCAGTGAAACGCACCCCTGGCAGGCACCGGGGGCCGGGGCCGGGGGCGCGGGAGGGGGGCGGGGCGACGCTTCTCGAGCGCTCTGGATCCCGGCCGCAAGGCCAGGAGAGGGCGGGCGAGCGGGGCTCCCCTCTACGTCACTCCGCACAGCGCGGGAGGTCCCTGACACCTCCCCACTTTCCTTCCGGGGTCAGTTAGCCCCGCCCGGCGCGTGCGCAGACGCACGGACGCTCGGAGGCTGTGCGACGCAGAGCGCCCCGGGGGGGGGGGGCAACGAAGCGGCGACCCAAAAGAAAAACAGGCACATCGAGGCCCCCCCCCCCCCCACCCACCGCTGCTTGCTGGAAATTACGGCTCCGGCGCGTCTCCCGCTTTCCTCGGCTGGCCCTCGCGCGCCTGGGGAAGCTGTGACCAACGCAGAAAGTCCCCGGCTTGCCGCGTAGGCTGGCCACACCGGAGGGGGATGTAACCCGGTGTTGCCTCCCACCCCCCACCCCCCGGAGCACCCGTGGCCCCTCGACTCGGCGCCGCGCCATCAACGTCGATGGCCAGAAAGTGAAAGCCATCGAACAGGGGGCATCCTCGGGCGCATCCACAACAATGGCTCCCACCCGAGTCCCCCACCTGGCGCGCGTGAACGCACTCGCGCGAAAATGCACCACCTCACCCCCCGCCCGTGTGGCGCGCACACACGCACACACACACACACGCGCACCCGCCCGGTTCTCGCGGTCAACTAGCTTCCCGCGTCTCCGGGCCGCGCTGCGTCCTTGTGCGTTGCGGCTGTCCTTCGGCCGGAATGGTGGGTGAAGGTGGGCCCCGCCTCCCCAAGTCCCGAGGCCCGCCGTTCCAGATTGCAGGAGCTGAGGAGATGGGGGAGGGGGGGGGGGGGGGGCTGTTACTGGCGACGCAAGCATACGTAAACATACACCCGAAGATCAGATATTCCCCCAGCCGGGCCTTCGACCCCGCTGCTCCACACCCCGGCCCGTTCCCGGGAGGCGGAATACTCTGGATCTTTCCCAGCCCCTGGGGGCAGGACTTGTGGGGCCTGGGGGTCCCAGCGCCAGGCGGCGAGGGACGCTCTCATGTGCGCGTACATGTGGGCGTCTACCGCCGTGCGTTGTCTGAGCGCGCTACGGCGTGCGGAGCCCTCCCGTCCGCGGAAGGCCAGGGACGGGCACCACCGGGGCAGGGGGGGGGCGGCGACCGGCCAGGGATCTCCCCATCCATGCAAATCAAAACGGCGGAAACAGTTCAGTCCAGAAATACCCCCATTCCAGAAACTTCCTGGTTTTTGGGAGGGTTCACCCGCCGTCCCCCTTTCTATCCGTTCCCGGTCCCCCCCCTCCAGCCGACACACACACACAGAGTGCCGTCCGACCTTGGATCTGCTGCTGGGCAGAGGGGCCGGCCCCAGGTGCCGGAGCCACCACGAGAAATGCATGCAGCGCGGCCCTCGCCACGCCCCGCCGTCTGGCCAGTTCTTGTCTTGTTGTTGCTAACGTATGCCCCCGCCCCCCCCCCCCCCCCCAAGGGGCGGAAGATCACAGCCCCGGGCGGTGCTTCCATGGGGCCTCCGGGGTGGAAATGGCATTTATAGAGGGCAGCTTCGTCGGTGCGCGTGATATCTCTGCGCGTGATCGCCGTGAGGGCGATGGGACCTGACGCCGCACAATAAACACAGCGATCAGGACCAACGGGAGCAGACGCGTGGGTGTGAGAAAGGAGGGGGGGAGCGGGGCCTTGTGCGAGGAGGGGGCATGTCTATTGGGCCCGCATTGGGAGGGGAGGGGGGAGGGGGCTGGCCCAGGGAAGAGAAGAGAAGAAAAGAAGGGGCAGAGGGAGGACACCGCCCCGAAGAAGATATACACCTCTCTCTGGGGCTCTAGGATAGTGAGAGGCCAGGCGAGCGATGGGCTGATGGCGCGACCGCAGCCCCCCCTGAGGGGGAGGCTGAGGCGCTGGCGGCCCCGGACCCGGACGATCCCGGCCCGGTGGTCGACACCCCTGCCACCACGCCCGGGTGGTGGAAGTGCACGGCAGCAGCCGGGGAAGTGGCGCTTACCGCCGCCGCCGCCGCCGCCGCCGCCGGGCCTGCCGGCATCGGGGACAGCTCCGGCACCGGGCCACCTACTGTCGGAGGGGTGGATCCACCGCGGGGAGCCTCGCCACTGGTGTCAGTCTCGTGGCCGCCCGATGGGGCGGTGTGCAGCAGCGGCGCTGCCGAGATGGCTGCCACCGCGCAGGACATATATGGCGACGGCCCGGTCGCCAGGCCGCCAGCCGTGGAACTGATCACAGCAGGCCCAGCGGCTGCACTTGAAATGCCCATACCGGCCGGTGTGGCTGGTGGTGGTAGCGCCCGCGCCACCGAGGCCGGCAGGCAAGCCACCGGCGAGACGGCATCCACTGGCGAGGAGGCGTACGACGAGGAGGCGGCCGCCGTGACGGTGTCTGCCGTCGGGCCGCCACCGGTGCCGTTGCTGCTGTTGCTGCTGTTGCTGCTATTGCTGCTGCTGTCATTCTCCGACAGGGTCAGATCGATGAAGTCCGAGATCCTCAGGCTTTCAGTCGGTGGGGGCGGGGCACGCCGCCGGGCCACGAGGACTTGGCGCCCAGGACCACCACCGAAGGAGTCGTGACCTCCAGCGTGGTGGCGGTCCTGGTGAGGGTGATGCGCATGATGCTGGGGGTGCTGATGATGACGATAACCATGCTGGTGGTGGTCATGCTGCTGGTGGTAATGATGCTGCTGCTGCTGCTGCTGCTGTTGCTGCTGCTGTTGCTGCTGCTGCTGCTGGTGGTGGTGGTGGTGGTGGTCATGATAATGAGGGTGATGAGGGTGCTGGAGATGACCCTGATGAAGATGGTGATGAGGGTCACCCGGTGGCGAGTGGCGAGGCCGGTGAGAAGCGCCGGGGGGCGAGACGCCCACACATGGAGCCGACGTCGCCGAAGACAAGGACAGAACAGGGGGGGCCGATTGGTATGGATGGAAGTGCGGGTGCTGCTGGTGCGGGAGCCGGCCGTGGTGGTAATGCGATGGCCCCGATGGCCGGGCACCCAGTGGCGAGAGCCCGCCCGGGGGCAGCTGGCCCGGGCTCACGCCCCCGGCCGTGGGTGGGCCGCCGGAGGTGCCATCGCGCCGCAAGCCGCCAATCGACGCGTCGAACGAGCCGGAGCTCATGAGGGAGTCCTCCGCCACGCTCGGCGAGGGACGGCCGGTGGCAATGGCCACGGCCCTGGTCGACGGGGACATCGCCAGAGAAGCGGTACATGCATCGGCCATCGGGGCCGAGGGTGTGGACGACGCCCCGAGGGCCAGGCGGCTGGTGCGCGGAGGCCGCGAGCCAGGCCCATGTCCCGGCAATGACAGCGCCCCGGGCGAAGGGCGCGGCTCATCCACATGCGCCTCGAAGGTGGCCAAGGGCAGCTTCACGCTGGCCGCCAGCGACGCCGGGATCTCCGACTGTTGAAGCTTCCGATTGACCAATGCCGCCACATAGAGGCTGCTGCTGCTGCTGCTGCTGTGGACGCCCGCCGCCCCATGGAGAGGAGCCCCCCCGGCGACACCCGCCGGCGGCGAGGAGAGGCCGCACCCCCTGGCGGAATGGACATTCGCCATGCGCCCGGCGGGGAGTCCGGCCGATGGCGAGTCCAGCCCCGCCGTCGTGGCGGACACCCCCGTGGACGGTGCCGCAGCCACATCCGCCGGCGTGGCCACCTTGGCCGATGACATGCGCACGTCCGCGGCCAAGGAGGAGGAGGACGAGGACGAGGATGATGCCGAGGCCATGCGGCTGTCGGCTGTGAGGGGGGCCGGGGCCGGTCCCGGGGGCGCCTCCGGGCCACCGCCACCGTCACCCCCCGCCGGGAGTGAACCGGAGGCACCGGTGAGTCGGAGTTCAGGCGCGGGGCCCGTGGCCCCGGGCGAGTCGGCACGGCCAAACTTTTGCAAGCATGCCTGTAGAAAACGCGCGCAAGTGGACGCATACCCGGCGGCGGTGAGGGTGTCCGGCCGGTCATCGGCCGGCAGGGGATCGGCGGCGCTGAGACGCCCGCCGGGCGAGGATGACGCCGACGCCGCCGGGGCCCCGACCGAGGGTCCGGAACCGGGATCGACAGTCTGCAGACGCGGCCGCTGCCTGGCATGAAGAAGAGGCGGTCCCTGCTCGGGCGGCGAGTATGCCACCGGGGCCATGGCCGGACCGGCGACCGAGGCCGATGGCGATGCCGTCGGCGGCAGGCCCGACCCAGGGGTCTGAGAAAGCCCCGGAGGGCCGACCGGCTGGAAGAGCTCCGGACCCCGGTCGGCCTGACGCGCGTGGTGCAAGTGAACATGGAAGTGCCCATGGGGCTGGTGGGTGCCCCCGGTGGCCGGGGAACCGGCGTGTGACAGGATGCCGGCAGCCGGGCGCGAGGTGCCCATTCGCCCCGGCATCAGGACATGATGACCGCCGCTGTCGCTGCCACTGGCCCCGGCAGGAAGGTCCCCGCCAGAGCCCAAGCTCTTGGGGCCGCCGGCAAAGAAGAAGTCCCGCTCGGGAGCCCGGGACCCGGGATATGGCTGCGAGTGCTCTGCCCCAATGCGGATGCCACTGCCCAGAGGCCCGGCGCCGGCGCCGATCATCGGCCCGGGTGAGGCATCGACCATCATTGGTGAGGGGAAGGAAGCCAGCATGGGCGGGTGGTCGCCGACACCGCCACCTACCGGCGGCTGGTAGGACTGAAAAGGCTGTGATGGTGCCTGCACCCGGATCTGCTGCTGTTGTTGTTGTTGTTGTTGTTGTTGTTGCTGCTGCTGCTGCTGCTGCTGCTGCTGCTGCTGCTGCACTGACGGCGACGGCAAAGGCGCAGGCTGCGACTGGGGCTGCGCATGGTAGTGCCCATGCTGTTGGGGGTGCGAGGGATGGAAAGGCCCGCCATGGTGAAGGGGATCACCAGGATGAAAGGGCCCGATGTGGTGAGGATGTTGCTCCGGGTGATGAGCATGCACATGCTGGTGTGGGAAGTGCATCTGCGGGCGAAGGCCATCCACACGATGGGCCATGGTGCCCGGCTCCGGGGGGGCCGCATGGAAGAGAGGCCCGGACCCGGGGGGGAAGGGCCCCGAGGGCTGGTGTGCCAGCGGGGATGTCTGCTGGTAGGTCGGAAGGGTTGATGGTGGAATGCCGGCTGCCGAGCTGGCATCCGCCGGCACTGAGGATGCCGGGCCAGATTGAGGCATGAGGACAGCCAAGCCAAGACCGGGGAGCGGACGAGAGAGGAGACTGCAATAGATAAAGAGAGAGAGAGAAAGAGAGAAAGAGAGGAGAGGGGGGGGGGAGAAAAAGAGGGCGAGCTGGCGACGAGACGCCGCCAGGTGGCTCTCAGGGAGGAGGGGAGACGGGGGGAGTCACCTGCGACGAGCAGGGCAGATCAGCGCAAGCAGAGCATCTTTACCCGCGGCAAAGGGGGGACAGCAAAGAGAAGCACCTGGCAGCCACGGGGTGCGAGCGGTGTCGTGGAGTGTGAGGAGGGGAGGGGGGGGGGGCCGGCGTAAAAGGGGCCTGTCGCGCTGGACCGAGGCCGAGGTGGATGGAATGGCAAGGGGCGGGAGGGGAGCGTACTTGTCCAGTCGGTAACGGGAAGGGAACAGGAAGGACGAGGGGGAGGGGGGG